GGGACTCTGGCGGAGGCCTGGCGAGGGCTGGAAAGCCCAGAGTGGGATTCTGGTGGAGGCCTGGTGAGGGCTGGAAAGACTGGAGCAGGACTGTGGCAGCGGAAAAGAAAGTTGACTGTCTTGTCTTTATTTTTCTTATCTTATTCCAAATGAATGTGAATGGCACCATGTATGTATGGTGAAGGTACACACTTTTCACTGTAATTTTACATTGAATACACGTGACAAAAAATGATTCAGTCAATTCAATGCCTATAATTCACTCCCAGTTTTATGTTATTATGTATAAAACTCACTCTTTGTGAACACCTTGATTAGATATTTTAAAAATGTATCTACGCATGTGGGTGTCATTGTCTTGGATGTTGATAATCGAGGATTCAGGTATTAAATGTGATGGGGAGATGCTTGGATTCTGTTTTGTCGGTGATAGTTATTGGCTGGCACATATGTGGCTTGTATATTACTTACAGCTGTAATACACTTCTGAGCACTAGTTATTCCATATATAAAATCCTTCCAAACTTCTTGCTTAGATTTCACTCTATAAGTCACTCCCAAATATTTGTTAATCTATATATAAATTGCTGAGTATCTATTGTTCAATATTTAAAAACTCCTGAATGCCTTGATTAGATTCCAGCCACAAATTCATTCCCAAATATCTGGTATTCTTTCTCTATATATAAATATATATATTATGTGTACACCCTGAACTGGTTGATTAGATCCCAACTTGTGCCTCACAATCAGTTCTTCATTTTTGTGTATGTAAACAATGTGAATGCCTTGATTACATTCCAGCCCATAAATCATTCCTGCATAGGCAGTCAGTATAAGAACATAATAACATAAGAAATAGGAGCAGGAGTGTGCAATTCTGCCCTCAAGTCTGCCATTTATTACAGTCATGGTTGATCTCAGCTTGGCATCAGTTCCACTTTCCTGCCCACTCTCCATAACCCTTCAACCCATTACTAATTAAAAATCTGTCCACCTCCTTCTTAATTTTACTCAATGTCCCAACATCCATCACACTCTAGGGTAGTGAATTCCACAGATTCGTGACCCTTTGAGAGAAGTAATTTGTCTTTATTTATGCTTTAAATTTGCTACCTCTGATCCTAAAACTATGACCTCTTGTTCTAGATTGGCCCACATGAGGACACTTCTTCTCCACGTCTACTTTATCGATCACCTTTAGCATCTTCTATACCTCAATTAGAATAAGACAAATCCGTCATCTTTGGAATCAGTCTAACGATCCTCTTCTGAACTGCTTCCAGTGCAACTAGATTACTCCTCAAGTAAGGGGCTAAATCTGTATGCAATACTCCAAAATGCAGTCTCATGCAGCTTAGCACAGTTGCAGCAATATTTTCTTACTTTTATACTCTATTCCTTTATCAATAAATACCCAATGCTGCTGTTTTGCATTTGTATAAGCCAAAATGGGTAACAATGGGGTTCCTGAAATAGCCATCAGCTGATGATAGGCTGGAAAGTAGTTATAAAGTTGCACTCTATGGCTCCTATCTTCACAGCAGCTGCACCAGTGTATATTTGCCAGTGTGTGCTGGGCTTTTGCAATTCTCTTCATAGACCCTGTTCTGTCCCGGAGTAAAATTCATTGGTTAAAGAATTTGGAGAAATGTGGAAAACTTGGAAGCAATCTTGAAATTTGAGAGATGATATGTGCAAGGTGTAGAATATCGAAATGGCATTGAGCAATGGGTGGCAAATGTGTGACGCATGGAAGATAATGTTGCACAGCTGGAGATCAGAGACTGAGTAAAAGTGTTTAGAAAAGTGGTTTCTGCACTTGTTACTAAATTACTTATTCCTGACATTTGACACCTGGGACAGGATGCTCTTCTGATCCTTTCTCTCTCTTGC